CTCTCTCTCTCTCTCTCTCTCTCTCTCTCTCTCTCTCTCTCTCTCTCTCTCTCTCTCTCTCTCTCTCTCTCTCTCTCACTTCCTCTCTCTTTCTCTCTCTCGTCCCTCTCTCCCACTCTCTCGTCTCTCTGGGGTACCCCTTCTATTATTCTTGCAGCCCCCTTTTTACTGTGCCTCTCAGTGCTCTCACGTACAAGGCTGGCCACATTGATTGTGGTTTAGCGCCATCTGACCACATCCGCATGTGCTTTAACGACAGACTTGTATGTTATGAAAGGAGGCAAGAGAAAAGGGGGAGGTATACTCCTGTTCATTTTTCTTCGGATCTTAGCCTTATCTTTTGTCTGTTTTCTTACTCATGGTCATTCGAATGCATTTACTAGTAGTACACAGGAGGAGGGAGGAAGGAAAGGGGTAGACGATATAGGAAGCAAGGGGCGGGGGAGGGAGAAGGAGCAGAGGAGGCAAACGGACGGGCAAAGAATAGAACAAAGGAATGACAAACTTTGCAGGGTTCTCAATAGTCACACCTTGAGCAGACTACTCTAGGATGGCACAAGAGGCCAGTCTGTGTTTGGGTTGCAGGAGATTTTGAGTATAGGAGCCGCCGTTGCTTATGGCAAGCGGCCACCCCTACAGACCCGACAGGATTGGTTCAGGAGTAGACTGTGGAAGCACCACATCCAATTCTCGCAGTTGCAGTTGCTGCATAGAATGGCACAGCATGGACAAATGTCACTGACTACATGGCTCCTACATGCTACAAACACCGAGGCACACTATCCACAATTGTATAGGCATTCACGTTCCAGCCCGTCTGCAAATTGGACATGACATGTCAGGGTGCCGTACATGAGTCCAATGCTGACTGCCATCAAACCTATGAAATCAAGAACTTGCATGGGCTATGCCTTCGTAAACCTCACCACACAAAGCGTTCGAATCACATGCAAGATGAATCTCAGGAGGGCCATCACAGAGCGGGATTGAGCAAATTTCTCAGGAGGCCCACTTGCATGTTATTTCAGGAGGCAGAGTAAAAGGGAAGGTATGCTCCTGTGCATCTCTTCAGAGCTTCATACTCCTGTCCATTTCAATTCAGATCTTCAGCTTATACAGTCTTTGTGTCTGTCCTTCATCTTCATACTTCCGTTCATTTCATTTCCGATCTTCATATCATCTATACTCTTAATGATGCTCATTCGTATGTATTTGTTAGTAGTACAAGGGGAGTGGAGCGGAGGGTGGAGGGTAAGGGGTAGAAGGCGGGGTTCTGTAGGAGTATGGGGCAGGGGAGGTAGGGGCAACGGGAGGGCAGGATATAGTATGACATGCAAAGAGCAGGGGAAAGGTGTATGACGGGTTTCACAGATTTCTAAATATTCACCGCTGAAGCAGAACCCCAATTCCACCCAGGTGAATAGATTCAGAACCAAAGAAGTCTTTGTCCTATTGCAGACAACGAGAGCATTTGAGATGTCCAACATATTAAAGCAATTTTTTTTTTGGTTGTCCTTGGGGTACCCCTTTCATTGTTCTTGCAGCTCCCCTTTTACTGTGCCTCTTACGCAAAAGGCTGCCCACGTTGATTGTGGTTGAGCGGCAGCTGCCCACATCCCCGTGTGCCTTCACGGCCCAGTTGCACGTTATTTCAGGAGGCAGAGTAAAAGGGAAGGTATGCTCCTGTGCATCTCTTCAGAGCTTCATACTCCTGTTCATTTCACTTCAGATCTTCAGCTTATACAGTCTTTGTGTCCGTCCTTCATCTTCATACTTCCGTTCATTTCATTTCTGATCTTCATATCGCCTCTTCTCTTAATCATACTAATTCATATGTATTTGTTAGTAGTACAAAGGGAGTGGAGGGGAGGGCGGCGGGTAAGGGATAGAAGGCGGAGTTCTATAGGAGTATGGGGCAGGGGAGGTAGGGGCAACGGGAAGGAAAGAAATATGTGGAGGGCAGGATAGAGTATGACATGCAAAGAGCAGGGAGAGGTGTATGACGGGTTTCACAGATTTCTAAATATTCACCGCTGAAACAGACTACTTTAGCAAATAAATAAAATAAAATAAAAATGGCGAGTGGCCACCCCTACAGACCGGACAGGACCGATTCGGGTGTGGGATATGGAAACACCGCCTCCAATTTTCGCAGTCACAGTTGCTGCATCGAATGGCACAGCGCAGACAGATGTCACAGGCTATGTGGCTCGTACATGCTAGGAACACAGAGGCACGCCGACCGCAATTATAGAGGCATTGCCGTTCCAGACCCTGTCTACAAATTGGACATGACATGTCGGGGTGCCGTACATGAGTACAGTACTGTGTTGTTGTTAAACCACCAGTACCCCCGAAGCAGCCTTCCCAAACCTTGTTGTTGGAAACCTACCGAACCTCTTTGTCTTATGGGAATCCAGCTTGCACGTGGTCGTGATGTGGGGCTGACCGGTCCTTCAATGCTGGCGACCGGTACTTCAGTGCTGGAAACCTACTTCATACGTTTTCTTTTTCCCCATAGGGTGGCTGCTCCTGCCAGAGGAGCAGGCGAAGGCACGGACGGCGGGATCGTAGTCAGAGAGCCGTGAATGGCTCTATTGCCAGCAGTCATCATTCTTCAGCAGGGCCATGCTGATCTTGTCTGTATCCTTCCATGTTCCAGCGTAAAGTTCATTCCCGTTTTGGTAATCTGGAAAAGAGTTCAGCGTGGGCCATTGCAAATCTCATAGGACGAACGCTCCAATACTCAGCACTGTCCGCAGCAACCGCAAAAGACAAATCGTGGCAGTCGATCTTTCTTTTATTTTTTTCCTTTTTTTGGGACAATTTCTCGATTTAAAGCTTTAGTATGGGCCTCACTCCACTCTCTCGACATGCACAAAAGACAAAAATCATGGCAGCGTATCTTTCCGTGTTCTAGCGGAAGATTCACTCTCGTTTTGCACATGTAGCGAGTAGTGGGCGAGGCCCTATATTTCCATGTCCCAACTTGAAGCGAATCTGATCGCGTAGGATGAGGCGTGGGCCTCGCTGCACTGCTCTCGACATGCACAAAAGACAAAAATCATGGGGGTGTACCTTTTCATAATCTAGCGGAAGATTCACTCTCGTTTTGCACATTTCGAGAGCAGTGTAGGGAGGCCCTGTATCTGTCCTTTTTTTTTTTTTTCTTGTACACTGCGTGAGCGTCTTTGTTTCCAGAATTTGCGCCGCTCCAAGAGGAACAGCCCCCTGCTCGCGCAGTTTTCAGAGGGAGATATTTTCTTTCGTTTTCTCACTTTTTTTTTCTTTTTTTTTTTTATTATTCTCTGGTCGCCCGTTTCCGTTTTCAAAACGAGCGACCACCACGCATGCGTCGAGGCTGTACCGAGCCTCTACCAGGCCTGCCCACGTCCTCCATGAATTCAGGAGGCGACAAAAGTTTGGCTGGGCAGGGTACTGGTGGTATGTTGAATATAATATTAATATAATATTTACTTTGTTGAATACAATGCAATGTAATTATATATTATTTTATATAAATAGCCCCAAATTCTCTCTCTCATTTCCTCCACAAATCATAACAAACCATCCATAACGAAAAAGTATTGTGTGTGTGTGTGTGTGTGTGTGTGTGTGTGTGTGTGTGTGTGTGTGTGTGTG